AGCCATGCTGAAGCAGCCTCCCACATACCACAACTAGAAGGACCCACAACTAAAATATACAACTATGTACCAGGGGGCTTTGGGGAGAAGAAGAACAGAAAAAAAAGATTGGCAACACATGTTTTCTCAGGTGCCAATCTTAAAAAAAAATGACTGTATAATGTCCTACCAATCAACAAAAGCAAGCCCTTTGGAGTATCTTCGCTATCAAGGAGGAAACAAAAAATTAGCCCACCTTATCAGTTTTCTACAAGTTAACCTCTAATTTTCAGGGTTGTAACCTGGGGCTTCTCACTTGTAGGTAGTAACTCAGAGGAAGTTACAAGCCCCAAGAGAGTCAGATGTCTGTGAGACAGGCTGAATACTCTGGCACGATGTTATAATATCATGCAGTAATCAATTTCCAAGGGTTGGGTATTTTTCCTGCATAGTAGTGAAGTTATTGCTGGCTGTCTCGGTGTAAGAATGGCCACTGAACTGTCTGGCAGCCTGACGGGAAGGGGCAGGGCCAGATGTCGAATCCTAATATGAGTGTGTCCTATGGGCCAGCTCTGAGCCTATGTCGGCAATAAAGAAGAAGAAATAAAATTTGAAATGCATGATTCCAAGAGTCTGCAGAAAATTCCTCCAGTCATCAGACATGCAGAATTGTGATTTCATACCCATAATTTTAAAATATTTTTTCTTAATGAAGGCCCCCACATGGTATAAGCCCACAAAACCTGGACCTGCCCTGCGAGGATCAGGATTAAGAGGAAAACTCCTCTACAACAGCACAGGGACTCTGACCCCGTTCTCCCACTATCATGTGGCAGGGCCTCGGGCAGAGGGTGGTCTCCCCACTTCACAGATGCAGTGTCTGTGCGTTCAGTCGCCACGTTTCAGGAGAGGAAATCTGTTTGGTCAACTTTGGTCAAATCTCCACTCCTGGTTCAATCACATGTAAGGGCAGTGGATGGTTGAGCTCACTGGGGACACAGGGCTGTCTCTGTGGGCTTGCGAAATCCGGATTTCTCAAAGAGAAGTTTGGTTGGGAAGGAAATATGAAAAACACATTGGAGGCCCTCAAGGATTGAGCTTTCCTTCTTAACCCTTTCAGTGCTTTCCTTGCCCCTTAGTTTCCTTCTCTGTGGAATGAGGATTAATAAAATCTATCCTGCCTACTTCAGAGGGGCATTGTGGTGAGCAAAGTGAAGAATTAAAATGTGTAAAGAAGGGTATATATTTAAGATTAAAAAAATGACTTTTTTTTTTTTTAGGAAGATTAACCCCAAGCTAACATCTGTGCCCATCTTCCTCTACTTTATATGTGGGATGCCTGCCACAGCATGGCTTGCCAAGCAGTGCCAGGTCCACACCCAGGATGCGAACTGGTGAACTCCAGGCCGCTGAAGTGGAATGTGAGCACTCAACCACTGCGCCACCAGGCTGGCCTCCTTGTTCCATTCTTTTTGCTTTAGTGCCTACTGCTAACTGCTCGATTCTCTCTCTGTTCCACATTCAAATTCCCACGAGGATCTGGAAGCCCCAGCTCACCTCCCTCACAGGGAGCTATGTCACAGGTCACTGGCTAGCATGGAGATCAGTACCACTTCCAGTCCAGCTGGCTGTGGCCAGAGAGCCGGAGTCTCTTGGTATAAATCACGGCCACATAGGGTTGCCCTGTCAACAGCAATGTGAGTGAGACGATTTCACTTAGAAGAGGCAACAAGTTTGCAAAGGCCAAATAGAGACATGACCCATCCTGACTGTTACTCCCCTTCTATAATTTTCAAAGGTTTGAGATATAACCTCTGAATATTCCTTATTTCCTATTAGCAGCTTAAAACAAACTGGTATCAACAAGTTTATGACCCATCTGCTGAGTAGATCACTCCCATCTGTAACTCTGGCCATGCTACATGCTTGGCAGCCACACAAAAATGTCTCTGGCAAAACAGTGTATCAGAATTTAGATTCCTAATGGGAAGTAAAAAGCTAACTGTTAGAGATTTAGAAAGAAAATAAGACTGCAATAACATTTTCAAGGTGAATTTAGAATATAAAAAATGTTAAAGCTATTTAGAAAACAACAATGGCAAATACGTAATGCCACAGCATGTGTGCTAAGTATTGTTCTAAGCACTCACATAGATATCAAGAAATTTGATCCTCATAAAACCCTATGGGGGTGGCCAGCCTGGTGGTGCGGCAGTTAACTTCGCACGTTCTGCTTTGGCAGCCCAGGGTTTGCTGGTTCAGATCCTTGGTGCAGACCTACACACTGCTTGGCAAGCCATGCTATGGCAGGAGTCCCACATATAAAATAGAGGAAGATGGGCATGAATGTTAGCTCAGGGCCAATCTTACTCAGCAAAAAGAGGAGGATTGGTGGCAGATGTTAGCTCAGGACTAATCTTCCTCAAAAATAAAATAAAATCTAAAAACCCCCCAAAATTCTATGGGGTAGGTAATAATGAAGCAGAGTACCTAAGGATTACTATAAATATTCAATGAGATTACCCTTCGACCTTATTGCCAACATAGACATAGATGAAAAGAAGTTAATCCTGTCAATTTGCTGTTTTCTTGTTTAACCTGAGGGATGACTCATGGGTCACAAGGATTTGTGAGCTTGTTTAACAGAAGAAAAAGAATGGCTTCAAGGAAGTTACATCACCTGATAACCAGCCCCCAGCTGCCCTTGACACCCAGAAATCAGATTGCCCAAGGGCTTAACTGGAGTGAAAGAAACATGGATTACCCCTTTGTTTCTCCAAAACTCCTCCTGCCAAGCCCCTTAGCTCTATAAAACCACCTGCTTTCTTCTCCTGTTAAGGCAGATTTAAGAGAACCTATCCTGCCCCTTCCTGTTTTGGCCAATTTGAATAAACCTTTCTCCATCTCCAAGCAGTGATTGGCTTACTGTGCATCAGGCACATGAATTGGAGATTAAGAGGTTCAGTATCAGTAACATCATCCTCATTGTAACAGATAAGAAAACAAACACAGAGAAAAGTCAAGTAACTTGCCCAAACTGAAAGTTAAACCTTAAGTGACTTGAATAATTTAATGTAAATTTTTCTAAAATTTACATGCCTTGTCTAAAATAATCCCATACCTTAAAAACCATAGTTTAAATAATTCAGGTTCATTCTTAGGAATGGGCTAGCTGACATTGTGATTAACGCTCCACCCTTGAGGGAAACCGCTGCATCTTTGAGACAGGCGTCCTCTTGTTATATCATTTTCTGTCCTTCACTGACATGGCGTTAACGGACTGCCTAGACTCTTCTCACATTTGTTAAAGACTTTGAATCAGTTTTACTCTTTAACCATGTAACACCAATAATTCATTCGTTTGTTCACTCAATAAGTAAATAGGGGCTGGCCCCGTGGCCGAGTGGTTAAGTTTGAGCATCCAGCTTCCGTGGCCCAGGGTTTCCCTGGTTCGGGTCCTGGGTGTGGGCATGGCACCACTTGTCAGGCCATGCTGAGGCAGGGTCCCACATGGCACAACCAGAGGCACTCACAACTAGACTATACAACTATGTACTGAGTGAGGGGCTTTGGGGAGAAGCAGCAGAAAAAAAAAAAAAGATTGGCGACAGATGTTAGCTCAGGTGCCAATCTTAAAAACGTGATACAGAAAATACATATATTTGGTCTTCAGCCCCAGTTCCTGGCAGTAAATCTTCTAAAAGCTTGTTGATATCCTGAGGGATAGGGGTGATAGGAGCATCCTCTGTTACAATATTTGGTCTTAGTCCCCAGTTCCAGAAAAAAGAGCTTCTAAAACCCTTCAAATCTCTGGAATGATGAGTCTTTTGTATGCTAATGAAGTGACTCTAGGTGGGACCCTAGATAGCCTCAGGTGGGAGCTGGGTGCTAAACCAAATTATGTGATTAGTGGGTTGGAACTTTCAGCCCCACCCCTGACCCCTACAGCCAATGATTTGATCAATCATGCCAAGCATAGAAACTCCACAAAAACCCTAAGAAATCAGGTTCAGGGGCTGGACCTATGGCACAGTGGTTAAGTTCCCATGTTCCGCTTCGACGGCCCCGGGTTCTCTGGTTCAGATCCCGGGTGCAGACATCGCATCGCTTGGCAAGCCATGCTGTGGCAGGCGTCCCACATATAAAGTAGAGGAAGATGGGCAGGGATGTTAGCTCAGGGCTGGTCTTCCTCAGCAAAAAGAGGAAGATTGGCAGCAGATGTTAGCTCAGGGCTGATCTTCCTCAAAAAAAAAAAAAAAAGAAATCAGGTTCAGATTGCTTCCACGTTGAGGAACACATCCATGTGCCGACAGGATGGTGCACCACAACTCCACAGGAAAGAAGCTCCTGCACTTGGGATTTTTCTGGACCTCACCCTATATACCACTTCATCTGGCTGATTCTTTACATTAAAGGATAATATTGTTTATAATATCCTTTGTAACGAGTGTTTCCCTGAGTTCTGTGAGCTGTGATAGCAAAATATTGAACCTGAAGGTGTCAATGGGAAGCTTTGATTTATATCCAAGCAGGAGGTATGGGCAACGGCGGGGGGCGGGGGGGCGGTCGGTCGTCACTACTTACGACTGGTGTCTTAAGTTGGGGCAGTGTTGAGGGACAGGGTCCTTACCCTGTGCAGTGTCTTCTAACTCTGAGTAGTTAGTGTCAGAATTGAACTGAATTATAGGATGCCCAGCTGGTGTCCAAAGAGTTGGAAAACTGGTTGGTGTGGGTGTGGGGGAAACCCACACATTTGGTGTCACATGTTGTGAGAAGAGAATCAGTTTTCTTTTAAATATTTAGTACCTCCTATGTGTCAATCACTGCGCTAGTGCTGGGAATGATTAGCTGAAAGGTACAGACCCTCACACACTGCTGGTGGGAATGTAAAATGGAACAACCACCTTGGGAAAACAGTTTGACTGCTTCTTACAAAGTTAAACATACATCTATAATGTGACCCAGTCACTCTACATCTAGGTATTTAGCCAAGAGAAACCAAAAGACATCTGCACAAAGACTAGTACACAAATGTTCATAGCAGCTTTATTTGGAATAACCCAAAATTACAAATCCAGACGCCTATCAACAGATGATTGGATAAACAAATTGTGGTAAATTCACACAAAGGAATACCATTCAGTAATTTTAAAAAAACAAATACAACCTGCTGATACAAGCCACAAGGATGAATCGCAAAATTATGCTGAGTCAAAGAAGCCCCCCAAAAAAGAACATACGGTATGATTCCATTTATTTAAAATTCAAGAAAATGCAAACTAATCTATATTGACAGAAAGTGGTTGCCTGGGGATGGAGTTGGAGGGAGAGATGGATTACAAAAGGGCACAAGAGAACTTTTGGCGGTGATGTGATTGTTATCTCGATTGTGGTGACGGTTTAATGGGTGCTGAGGTGTAATGTGTCCCCCTAAAATTGTGTTTTGAAATCTTAATCCCCAAAGAGGATGGTATTAGGAGGTGGGGCCTTTGGGAGGTGCTTAAATTATGAGGGTGGAACCCTGATGAATGAGATTAGTGCTCTTATGAAAGAGACTCTAAACAGCTCCTTGCCCCTTCAACCACGTGACTACATAGCTAGAAGGCATCAGCTATGAAACCGAAAAGAGGGTCGTCCCTTGTTCTTGGACTCTCCAGCCTCCAGAACTGTGAAAGTTAAATTTCTGTTGTTAATAAGACACCCAGTCTATGGTATTTTGTTACAGAAGCCCAAAGAGACTAAGACAATGGGTGTACACATGTCAAAACTGATGATATTTTCCATCTTTATCTATGTGCAGTGTTCCTAAATTAAACATGATTAAAATTTTTAATGGAGATAATGATAATCCCTTTAGGCTGTTATAGGGATTCATTGGATATTTTAAGCTTTTTATCATAATGCCTCGTTTGACACTTTGATATCCAACTTCAACTTCTCCACTGAGCTCTTCACTCTGAGTTTAGAGGTAAATGAATGCCTAAGACTACATAGATCATATATGCCAAGGAACTTTGAAAAGACTCTAGGACTTGGCAATTAGAGTGTCACTGGATAAATTCAATAAACTTATTATCAAGGGAAAAAATACACATAAAGGAAGAACCAGATTCAAAAACATTTTTTGAGGCCGGCCCGGTGGCGCAGCAGTTAAGTTCACATGTTCTGCTTCAGCGGCCTGGGGTTCGCCGGTTCGGATCCCGGGTGCAGACACGGCACCGCTTGGCAAGCCATGCTGTGGTAGGCATCCCACATAAAAAGTAGAGGAAGATGGGCACGGATGTTAGCTCAGAGCCAGTCTTCCTCAGCAAAAAGAGGAGGACAGGCAGCAGATGTTAGCTCAGGGCTGATCTTCCTCAAAAAAAAAAAAAAAAAATTTTTTTCGTTGTATTTTCAACTTGCTGGTTCATTAGAGGTTGGGATCATTCTTTTTCCTTGGGAAGTAAGCTGGTATAAACTAATGCATAGAAAAACAAGATCTACTAAAAAGGGAAGTGAAAACCACTTCTCTCAAAGCTTTAGTTATCCAATGTAAAATAAAGGAACTAGACAGGATGATCACCTATGTATTGTCCAGCTCTGAACGTTAATTACTTCAACCATTCATTTAATTATCGTTCCTCCTCCCTCGAATGCTGTCATATCGCTATCTCCTGGCTTACCTCCTACTTCTCTGCTTGTCTTCTCTCTCCTGCGGGTTCATCTTCATCCAGATGTGGATTTTCCCCAAGGTTTGTGTCTTATCCTTTTCCCCTCCTCTGTGTATAAGCCGCTGAAATTAAGATCTTCATCTTCAAATCTCCTGCCCAAATAGTTTCTAGGAAAGAGAAAGTGATAAAAAGCGCCACAATGAGAAACCAAATAGGACGGGAGAATGAAAAAGGTCACTGGATTTTGGTGATCAGGGTGTCACTGAGTGAGCCATCCAAGGTTGAGCAGGGGAGTGCTGCAATTTTGGAACGATGACTCTGTTAAGAATGAATTGGAGCCAGAGAATATTAGAAATTTTAGGATCTTAAAGTGACTTTGGGGTCATCGATGTGATTACGTAACCCTTGTATTTAAATGCCATTAAACTCCTAATGTTTCATCTTGGCATTCCAGGCACTTCAGCGGCCCAATTCCTATCCAGCCATCATTCCTCCGTAAGCATCTTTCCTGGCTTCAACTAGACCGTTTATCCTCTAATAAGTCTGATCTTCCCTGCTTCCATATATGCTCAGGCTGTTCTCTGCTGATAAAACTGCCCAGCCTGATAACACCTGGAGGAACTTAAGTGCCTTCTGTAGTCTTAACTCCCAAACGCCATGAAACTTCTCTTGGTTTACAGTAGGTATTGAGAGATGAGACTGATTCGGACTCATTTTTACATCTCTTCCCCAACTCCTCCCACCCCCTCGCCCCCTATTCGGTGCCTCGCCAAACGCTGACCGCACAGAACGTATCCGCAGAGTGTTAGAACTCAAATATGGAGGAAAGAAAAGGCATCTAATAAATGCCTTGAGCATTCTACTAGGCGTTACAGGTATGGTAGCTTTTTTAATGCGCAGCAAGATGTTATCTCGATCTTACAGTTGAACAAATTTAACAATAAGACCTCTGGTCGGACGCTACAGCCTGGCGGAGGACGTAAAGACCTTTCATAGCAATCACAAGGAGGAGTTAAGTCCTAACCATCATGCCTTCCAGAAAATCTTACAATTGGGAACTCAGGAGACTCGGCTACTCCGCAGGAGGCAGAGTCACGAATTTGCAAGCACAGAGCCATGCGAACCCTTTCCTGCCCAGCTTTCGAGAGAAACCAGGCCCCCAGTGGAAATACTAACATACGAATTCGACCTACAACCCCCTCCCTTGGCCCCCAAATTCCCAGTGGAAGTCAAACAGTCGGGCACCGGAGGCCACCGCAGCGAGCAGCGAACGCGCGGAACTAGGAAGAGGAATCTCCAGGCCAGCCGGGCGTCTCTGATTGGCCGCCGGCTAAGCCTGGAACTCTGGGTCGTGCGGCGTCACATCCGCCGGGCCCGCCATCTTGTTCCCAGGGGCAGTTGGCGGAAGAGATCGCGCTCCCTGGCCGCCGGCTCGCCTTTTGCCGGGAGTGCTCGCGGCCCGCGTCTCGGCGTCTGCTCTTGCCCCGGGGGCGTTTGTTGGCGTCCCTGGTGCCCTCCCTCACCCGGCCGGGGCATATCGAGGCGGCCCCCTCTCCCGACGGCGTTCCATGGAGTAGGGTCCCGGACCGTTGTCCCGAAGAGCGAGATCGAGCCTGGCCCCCTCCCCCTCCCTTCTCCCTCCCTCCTTCCTTCCGCCGCAACATGGCTAACAACAGCCCCGCGCTGACAGGCAACTCGCAGCCGCAGCACCAGGCGGCCGCGGCGGCGGCCCAGCAGCAGCAGCAGTGCGGCGGCGGCGGCGCCACCAAGCCGGTGGTGTCGGGCAAGCAGGGCAATGTGCTGCCGCTGTGGGGCAACGAAAAGACTATGAACCTCAACCCCATGATCTTGACCAACATCCTGTCGTCGCCTTACTTCAAAGTGCAGCTCTACGAGCTCAAGACCTACCACGAGGTGGTGGACGAGATCTACTTTAAGGTACGAAGCGTCCAGGCCCGGGTGGGGGGTTCCTTTCGGAGGAGGGGGCATGGAGGAGACGCGCGGAGGCGGCCCCCGAGGGCTGAGGACTTCTTTGTAGGTGGGGGAAGGTTGGTCGGAGGGGGAGAGGTGGCCAGCATCTGCCAGGGAGGGGTCAAAGTGGGGCCGCCCCCTCATTTCCTTTTCAGATTTTTAGGGCCGAGAGAGCCCGCCACCATTGATCTCTCTCCTCCCCCAACCTCCTGCCCACCCCTGGGGGGAGTTGGAGGGGAGAGGTGGGGGAGAGGAGAAAAGAGTACCGGAAGCCTCTCCAGTTTACAGCTTTAAAATTAATTCCTTTTGACGTGGATCTACTCAGCGCCAGCTCATGGGTCTTCTCCCGCTCACCCGGGCCAGGGCGTGTATTGACTTCACTGTTGGCCTCGTGTTGTTGGTATTCATTGTCCGATCCAGACAGGGACCTGGTCAGTGCGTGTGTCGGGTGGGGTGGGAGGGTTGAGGGTGGAGACGTGCCAGTGCGAGAGGTGTACCGAAGGCCTGGAAATTTTCTCAGCAGGAAGTCAGGAGTAAGTGGTCTCAGTTCCCTGTGCATTGGGCTTATTTAGAATTATCTGGGCCCTGGGCTTCTGCGGCAGGGTCGGTGCTGGCTTGGCTGTGCTGGGGAGCTCACCTGGCGCCTCCTCACTGCACTCTTGTCTCAGTTCTTGTTTCGTTAGCAGGATTGACTCAGTCTTGCAGCGAGGCTCGGAGCAGCCCAGGGTCGCAGGTAGAGGTATGCACTATTAATCATGCTCAATCGCCATAAATGCATTTCCCTGGTTAAATGAACGGCTGATTAGATTTTTTTTTTTTTTTTTTGGCCATTGGTTTTGGTCTTGTCTCTACCAGTTAGATAGGCTTTCTCCACTTCCCTGCCAATTATGCAGTTTTAAAAATGTCTTCCAGGCCTCCTAAGGTTAATTTATATTTTGAAGAATATTAATAGTAGCCTTAATGGTCTTTAAATATTTTAGCTAGAGCATGTAATATAATACAATCCGTTTGGTTTATAGTGACTCTTGAAACAGTTGATAGACCACTGAAGTGTTTTCTGTGATCTGAACATATTTATAGAGGTGTTGACAGGGAAATTTTCTTTATGTACTTTTAGATTATGTTTTGTCCACCTTTTCCCCAATTATGGCATTAGGTTATTGAAGGATTTTTGAGATATTAGTTGCTTTTGATAGGAAATTGTATTTTGAGAATACCTTTCAACTTTGGGTATATTTTGATATCCTTTTACAAAAGTATTGTAAGTAATTATAATACGATGAACTAGTTTGTTTAGTTGTTAAAAGGTAAGGCCTTTGTCAGCATGGATACAGTATGGCGAATGTTTAACCCTTACTTTATTTATGTAGTAAACTTCAAACAGTTAAAAACTGGGTTCCTGCTCTTTTTAAACTGGCAGGTTCTGTTTAATAACGTAGGCATTTGCCATAATTAATTAATCTGTCTAATAACTTAGGCATAATGCGATAGAGGAAAAGCTTGTTTTCAAATACTGTGTTTTGAAACAACTTAAGATTCTAGTAGAAATTACTTAAATTTAGTTATAAAACTGAAGACTCAGATTTTATTATCAGGATGTCCAAATCAAATAACTATGTTGAAATATGTAGGCTTCCAGTTTTCTAAGGCAATTTTGTATTGCATTCACCCGTTTGGCAGCCTTTAAGGGATTGGATGGAACACCTTGTATACAGCAAGCTGGGGGAAGGAAATGGAATAGTAAAGCAGCGCAGGAGTCGGATAGTGTAGTGGTTACATTTAAATGTATGCTCCTCTGAAGCCACTGAGAAAGACTATAAAATGTAACCACTGGTGGGTGGAAATACAGTTTTAGAAATACATAGTGAAAGAACAAAATTTTATTTTGTTTTTGTTTCAAGTTAAGAAACAAACATGGGTTTTATTTTTCCAAAAGACCTTCTCAAGTTGTATGTGTTGTAGAGCTAATATTTGCTATTTTTAAGTAAAGTTTGGTTTTTATAGGGTGCCCACCTTAGCAAAGATGGTGCTGTATCTTGAGTATACTTAGTATAATAACTAGTCACACTCAGTTTTTGACAGTTTATATACTGGGACAATTGAATTGGTTCACATAATTATGAAAATAAATTACACACTGACTAACAAGAATGATCTCTGTGTAGGTGTGGGCTTTGTAATTTCTTCTTTACTCAGGAATGAACATGTCTGATCATGGTAAAAAAAATGTATGAATAAAGTTCCATAATTTTGCATCAAAAGTAACTTCTGTTACCATTTTAGCATACTTTTTTCAAGTCATTTTTCTTTATGTTTGAAGTCACCATAAAATTGAACTATTAAGAGTATTTAAAAATTCTTTTTGAAATAAGTGCTTAAACTTCATTAATACTTTCTGCTTTAAGTTGGAACCTTAAATCCATTTTAAAATAATTTTTTTAAGCAGCTCAGAATAGGATACACAGTTGATATGTTATCAAATATTTTTTACAAGTCTATGAGATTAGAAATTTCCTGGCTCCACATGTGTTAGCTCTCTACGAAGCTACTTTGTTGGGATTTCTACTCTCTAAAGCTGTTGAGGTTTTGTTAAACCTTAGTAGTTTTATTGGTGCTCTTATAAATATCCTAGCGGTTTTTCAAAGATGGTTTACATAATGTGCATAAACAAAATATATACATCATGTCAAAATATCCAGCTTCCAACTTTTGGAAGAGCTGCTCTATTATGGACTTCTGTTTACTTTAATCAGGGTTTAAAAAACAGTCAAAGTGTGAATGTTTGTTGTGTTCCTCTTTTCTGTTTCTAGGTCACGCATGTTGAACCATGGGAGAAAGGAAGCAGGAAAACAGCGGGCCAGACAGGGATGTGCGGAGGGGTAAGTAGAAGTACGTGCATTTTTCAGTTTTTCTGTGTCTGATAACTAAGTTTATATTTCAAAAACTAAAAGTCTGTCAATTAAACATTCAAACGACAGTTGGCAAATCTTAAAAGTTTGTATTTTTTCTTTTTTAATCTAAATTCAAGTGTCCCACGAATGTGGTTTAAAAAGTGTTATTTTTTTATGCTCCTTTCTCAGTTCTGTATTTTTTTTATCATTAATACCTAATAGGATTAATCAGTTGGTGTTAAGTGTCTGTTAATTATTTCACTACATTTTCTTAACTCTTTCCCCTAAAGGTTCGAGGTGTTGGAACAGGAGGAATTGTTTCTACGGCATTTTGCCTGTTATATAAATTATTTACTCTGAAGTTAACTCGCAAGCAAGTGATGGGTCTCATAACACACACAGACTCTCCATATATTAGAGCTCTTGGATTTATGTATATAAGGTGAGCATGCTTTTATCTACATTGCTAGTAAATATTTCATTTTAGTTCACATAAGCTGAATCCGTCTTTTGAAATTCTAGGTACACGCAGCCCCCTACAGATCTATGGGACTGGTTTGAATCCTTCCTTGATGATGAAGAGGTATGTCAACAAGGGTAATAATTAGTTTTCTTCTGATTACTCTTGTGTTTTTAATACCTTTTATTTATTGACAGCTTAGTGTCTTCTAGAATTTTCTGTAGTTAAATATATTTCACTCAGATTCTTTTGGAATTAATGTCCTTTTACTAAGACTTGGTGAATTTTACATATCTTAGGTTAAATTTCTTAAGTTTTATTTTTAAATTGTTTAGATGTGTTTTGGTAGTTACTGAAAATTTTATCTTCCTTATTATGTTCTCTGTATTGTATTGACTTTGACTTGAACAGTTGGTAGTGACTTTTTAAGGTGGGCCGTGTTCAGGATTGAGGTGATAAGGCATGCACATAGAATACTAATTATAGCTTTTTTCCCTAGAACTTTTCAATTCCAGAACCCTCTAACTTCTTCCAAATATTAATATTCCCACTTGAATAGAAGTGCGAAATTGAAGAGCTGAATGGGGCTTAAGTAGGCTGAGTGTTTAGATGACTTATTCAAGGTGACCAGTATTTCTTTTTCTTTTCTTTTTTTTTTTTTTTGAGGAAGATTAGCCCTGAGCTAACTGCTGCCAATCCTCCTCTTTTCACTGAGGAAGACTGGCCCTGAGCTAACATCCATGCCCACCTTCCTCTACTTTATATGTGGGATGCCTACCTCAGCATGGTGTGCCAAGTGGTGCCGTGTTCGCACCCGGGATCCAAACCGGTGAGCCCCGGGCCGCCAAAGCGGAACGTGCAAACTTAACCATTGCGCCACCAGGCCGGCTCCTCGGTGACCGGTATTTCAATTCTAG